TTTGCTGTGATGGACTGTGCCATAATGGTTCTCATCTGCTGGAATTGAATTGTCAGCTGGGCTATTTTCTCCTGAGGGGTCCTCCTTCTCCAGGGTGACAGTTGGACTAGTCTCAGGTGTGTTGTCATAGGGATCTTGATCTGACTCCATGAGCTGATCTGCATCACCCGATGTAGCATCTCTTAGGCTAGTCTCAGACTCCAGTAAGCTGGCAGAGGCAGACATGCTCATATTTAGAGGAAGAGACTGAGGGTTTTTGGGTAAAGAAACTCTATCCATTTGACCAGGGTCTTCTTCTGACTGCAGGTCCCCATTACCTTCTGGAGGCAACTGGCCCCCCAGATGCATCCGAATGTGATGCTGCAGTACCACGGCATTGGTAAACTTGCGCTGACAGAGTGGGCATGAGTTCTGGCCACGTGCATTGGCTGGACGTGCTCTGTGTGTGGCTAGATGAGCCCTTAGACTTCCCTTTGTGGAGAAGGAGCGGCCACAGAGTTTGCAGGGGAATGGACGTTCACCCAAGTGAGTGGCCTGGTGGAGACGTAATGCCCTTGGGCAGCTAAGGACACGGAGGCACACCCCACACTGATTAGGAACCAAAGAGGAGGCAGTTGACCCTTGGAGCTCTTGGCTGGCTGGCTCACTGCTAGGACTCGGGTTCAGCCCTAAGGCCGCCATCATCTCCCTCCTGTAAGCTAAGATAGCATTAGCGTTGGAGGTGGATATGTCATTAGCCTGTGCCTGGCCTTCATTAGTGCTTTTTAGGAGGGGCTGCTTCTCTAACTTCTGCGCCAGTCTTTGCAGCTTTGAGGTGTCAGAGGTGGCAGAGGATGAGGAAGGAGAGGAGGATGGAGAAGAGGAGTTTTGAGGTTTGGGGTATGAGGAGAAAGGGAAGGTAAGTGGGAGGTGAGGGGAAGGGAGGTGAGGAGGGCGAAGAAGGGCAAGGCTAGGATGGTGGGCAGAGGGACCTGATGGGAAGAGAATCTTCGGAAGGTGTGCCAGCTGGGAATATGGAGAACCAGGATGTAAGGTAGAGTGTGGTGGTGTATTCTCATCAAACCTCTGCTGCTTCGCACCTTTGAATTGACCAGTCATAGCAGAAGAGGTGATGGATGAAGATGATGACTGCACACTAGTGGAAACAGAGGCTGCAGCTGCAGCTGAGGCACGGTTAAGCTGTAGCAAAGAGTGGGCAGTGGAAAGCAGGGCCAGATCAACACTGGGTGGTAACGGAAGGGAGGAGGGAGATGGATGAGATGACCCAGACAGGAAACCAAGAGCTAAACTATCTGGCACACCTACACTACCTTTAACCCCAAATGGCTCCTCATCCTCTGCTCGACGTTTTCTGCGCCTCTGTGATGGCCCTGAGCCAGATCCTGATTGGCTCTGTTCAGACAGAACAGGTGGCAAGAGAGAGAGTGACAGCTCAGGATTTTGCTCACGGTGACGAAGGAAGTGGGCTTTGAGATTGCCGCGGGTAGTGAAACGACTAAGGCAGACCGGACATTGGTATGGACGCTCACCGGTGTGGGATCTCAGATGGATCTGTAGTGAGGAGTCACTGCTTAGAACCTTCCCACAGAACCGGCAGATGTGCTGCTGGCGGCCTAAAGAGGAGCTTGAAGATCCATTTGACATACTAACAGTGGAACTGAGAGATAGATAATCATGGGAGAGGCTGACCGTGGGCAAGGGAGGAGTTGGGAAATTCATGCCATTGCCATGACTGATGGAGGTGTTGGGAGACTTTTCATTGAGGTAGCGAGGTGGAAGTCCTAGCGTTAGAGATAGAGGGTGCACAGAGGCTGAAGAGGTGACTAAGGATGAGGAAGATGTTGCGGATGAAGTTGTGGAATAAGGAGTTCTGGTTCCATTTGTGTGAGATTGGTTGGGCTTGGTTGTAGGAGCTTGGGTAATTAAAGAGGCACGGGAGACAGTATTAGGTGGGGAGCTAGAGCCTGCATCACTCTGTTGACCCTCCACAGATCCCTGAGGTGCATCTTGGGCACTGACCCTCCGCTCGACGTTTTCTGCGCCTCTGTGATGGCCCTGAGCCAGATCCTGATTGGCTCTGTTCAGACAGAACAGGTGGCAAGAGAGAGAGTGACAGCTCAGGATTTTGCTCACGGTGACGAAGGAAGTGGGCTTTGAGATTGCCGCGGGAAGTGAAACGACTAAGGCAGACAGGACATTGGTATGGACGCTCACCGGTGTGGGATCTCAGATGGATCTGTAGTGAGGAGTCACTGCTTAGAACCTTCCCACAGAACCGGCAGATGTGCTGCTGGCGGCCTAAAGAGGAGCTTGAAGATCCATTTGACATACTAACAGTGGAACTGAGAGATAGATAATCATGGGAGAGGCTGACCGTGGGCAAGGGAGGAGTTGGGAAATTCATGCCATTGCCATGACTGATGGAGGTGTTGGGAGACTTTTCATTGAGGTAGCGAGGTGGAAGTCCTAGCGTTAGAGATAGAGGGTGCACAGAGGCTGAAGAGGTGACTAAGGATGAGGAAGATGTTGCGGATGAAGTTGTGGAATAAGGAGTTCTGGTTCCATTTGTGTGAGATTGGTTGGGCTTGGTTGTAGGAGCTTGGGTAATTAAAGAGGCACGGGAGACAGTATTAGGTGGGGAGCTAGAGCCTGCATCACTCTGTTGACCCTCCACAGATCCCTGAGGTGCATCTTGGGCACTGACAATACCACCTAGGCGCAGCACCTGCCTGCAGATTTCTTCTGTAATCTGCATTTGGTGAATCTGTCTTTGCTGCAGGACCCGAAGTTCCTCTAATAATACAGCAAGGGTTGGAGGCACCTGGAGTTGCTCTGAAGGTGATGAAGGAGTTTGGTGGATGGGACTAGGACTTCCTTGATGTGGTGGGGCACCCAGCGATGATGAAGAGGATAAAGAGGAGGTAGTGGTGGTTGCAGAAATACCCATTGGTGGGGATGTCACAGTGGAGTGGGGCTGATGAGATGGAATATGAGTGGATTTCTGCTGGCTAGGGGGAGGAGAGTGGGTCTGGGAGGACAGGGAAGGATGTGGGAAGTCTGGAGAGAGAGATGAGTGTGCATTAGGCAGAGATGTAGAATATGAGGCAATGTGATTTGGCCAATGGAGAGGAGATGAGCTCTCATTGGGGAGCGAGGGGGCATGAAGGCCACCAGGAGATGGTCTTGGGGCCAAAGGAGGCTGACAGTCCTGAAGGGATGTAGGAGAGGAAGAGGAAGATGACGAGGTAGTTTCAGAGGCAAGAGAGGTGGATGGAGATTTCACTGGTAGCTGGTCATCTGGAAAATAAAAAAAAGAAGTTTATAAGTATATAGCATCGATTTATCAGACAATGGCAATTATTTGAAAACATAATATTGTTGTAGCATTGTTTAATTATTTTATAATTCAATTTATATATTAATTGTTTTAACAGAGTTCTATAAGAACGAGTTATGAGAAAGCCTTCCTATTAAGGCCAACTCCTTTGTCAACAGTTTTCTTTCACCAAAACGCTGAATACCACTTGTCATTCTGCATTCTTAATGATCTTTCACCCTTAAATCACAACCTTCATATACCACACTCACATTTTCTGTCCTCACTCTTGCCACAACTCACTAACCACCTTGCAGCTATTGCAATGCTTTTTAGAGGACAATAGATATCACCACAACAACCCATAACCCCTCTTAACCCAACCCTCTGTCCATCAACTACATCTTTCATCTCTCTATTCACCCTTCCCCCCGACCCCACACAGGGTCAGAGGTCAGGGCATAGAAAGGGTTTTGGGCACTGTCCATGCGCTCTGATTGGCTAGATGACCTAACCTCATGAGCTCTAAGGTCAAATTCTTTTAGAATCTTGAGCGCAGAAAAAGAACTAGAAGAAGGGGGTTGGGAAAATAGTGGGTTGACTGACAGATGAACTATTTCCATTCTCTGGCATACTGATACAGAAAATGACTGTACACAGACTTGTGCAATCAAATCTGCTAAAATGCACCAGAAACACTCAACCCTAAAAAAAATCCCTTCACAACTTACTACCTGTTCTTGCCAATAGCTATAGAAATCGAATCACAAAGGTGCTGTATCTTTAAGATTCCTTAGCTAAATTTTTCTTCCATGCATGCACGCAATGGTGCATTCTTTCTCCTCTCTGTATTCTAACAGTGGAACCCCCAACTGAGCAGAGGTACAAAGTGAATAGAGGCAAGGGAGTGGGAAGGGGGGAACACGGTGGGAGCAGAAAAGAGGAGCACATGGAAACATGAGAGAGAGAATAAGGGAGAAGAGGAGAGAACAGAGTGAGAAGAGATTAATCTTTACCCAAACACCCCCTTCGTCCCCTCCCCCTTGCCTGCACCTTATTCACACTGAATAGGAGACTCCTCTAAATGCATAAAAGAACCCCAGCAATCAAACTGACTATGCTGCAAGTCTCTTGGAGGACTGACATTAGTGAAAAGCTAACACAGTTATGGCTCCTGAGTGATTCATGTCAACATAATGACCGGCCATACGGATGAACACCTTTAGACCAACCCTCTGGCCATGTCTTCAAGAGCCTTCTTTCAATATAACACACTGAGCAGACATTTTGAGCAGGAAATGTCAGTAAACTACTTATTTTTAAAAAAGTCAGGTCATGGCAGAAATGTGAGCTGCTGCTGCTCTTAAACAATGGCTCACTAAGTGGAGGGCCGAACGCACTAGTGCATTTTAACCTGTATCATAGTTCTTCAGGTGATAAAGAGTTCCTATTTTTAGCAATAAAGATAAACGTATACACAATTATTATTTGGATAACAGGTGCTCTTGGTAAACTAAAACTAGTTATGCAAAAACTTTTTAATTAAACAGTCGTTTTTTAATAATATAGCATCACGATCAATTAGTCCAGGGTAACACATAATTAACAAAGGATTGATTTCCTCACCTTGCGGCATCAAACGCGTGCCCCCGGGGTCCGCGTTAACGAGCTGCTGGGGCCGTTTCTGTTTCCGGCGTGACATGATTCACGAGCAGACGGTGAGAGTTACGGGCATCAACCAACTTTGCAACGCAAATTATAAGGTCGGTAATGAATAACCAAGTATCGAACTCCTCTGTTCGTAAATAATCCACCTTGCAGAACGCGTTAAGACAACATCGGCTTCTGTTGAAAGAGTTAGTTAAAAAATAAAATAAAATAAATAAACTTAAAATTCGTGTGGGCTGCTGAAGCGGACCATGACGACGTCCGCTGTTGCTGTGTGAACTGGCGAGTGCGTGTGTGGCTGTTTTTCCTCAACAAGTCCCCTCTTTCTCAAACTTGTCCACTCTGCGGACCCCCCTCCCCTCCTCTCCAAAGACACACAGACACACACACACACACACACACTCACACAAAAATACAATCTCTCCTTGTTCTGACATTTGCATTTCAATGGCGCGGAACACCGTCTCTTTTTCTTTCTTTCTCCCTCTTTTGCGTTTCTCTTAATGCTAATAGCTGCTCTCTAGTAGGCTAATTTAGACAACTGAGTTATATAGCCTACCAATATGAGTCAAAACGAATTTCGTGGCTTTTTATATTTAAACATATGCTTGTAATGCATGCAAAAAGGGAGTTCATACCCCTCAGGATTCTGACATCTGCCTGTTTTAAACAGCTTAATGACTACAAGTCATTTACTGCGCCAATTGAGAATTTGAGAAGGAGAGACACCTTTTGTATTGGCAGGTCTACTAAGATTTATGTGAAATCTCAATAGGCGACATTGCAAATCATCTGATTCACAGGAAGGTAAAAAAACAAACAAAAAAACTGACTGTGAGCGTTATCAGGTTACCTAGAAGGAAAATATAAATTAGCTCAAGTAGCCTATTATTGAAAGGGATAATGGAAGATCGTGTAGGCCTATGTAAAAATACACCAGATGTTAAAGTTATGTTATAAAAGCAAAAAATAACTTAACTTGAGGGAGATGATGAGGAAGGTGATGGGATGAGATAATACGTCAAGCGGTTTATAGACTATAACTGCACGGACTACTGGAGTAAAGACCCCCTGCGGCTCGCTCACTTTGTCGGTGCGTCCGAATATTCGGAGCTCTATTTAAAATGCATTGAATAGGAAGGGAATTTCCAACAATGGCAACCTGGACACAGTTGAGTGGGCTTCTCTTTCTCTCTCCTCACCCCCAGGATCCATTGCCGCTCCGCACAATGCCCCCCTTTCACCCCCGCCTCTGTTCCCATACACCACGTGGAGGAGGGATGAAGTGAAAAGCCATTTTTAATTAGATGTATCAAAAACATGCAGCCGACCTGCACCGTGTCTCATATAAGGCCAAGCGGTCCACTGACCATTAGGCAGTTTTTTTTCTTATACATGAGCGTGCTTGTTCATGCAGGCTTATTTACAATAACAAAGCATAATTTAAGATAAAAATGATTAAAATAGTTACAATAATATTATACTGTACACTGTACTGTAAGGCAAACCAATAATTCAAAAAGAGAGAGACAGTGTAGAACCATTATCATCATGGCTCACATGCATCTGTTGCATCGCTTCTGTTTTTTACTTGTTAATTTGTTGTTATATACAGTACTCATCAATGTTGCCAGATTGGAATGGTTTACTCTACATTTGGCTGATTTTGATTGAATTGTGCAGGGAAAATGTGCTTAGTTGGGTAGACAGAATTTAGGCTGATTTGCGTTCATTTGGGGATTTTTCTAAACATTTAAGTTAAGAATTTGCATTGCTTGATTAAAAATAGCTTCTCGTTCAATCAAACCAGACAGAACATCGATTGACTTGCATTATATAATGCTGTTCAGAGGAGGTACCATTTTCCAAATATACGTGTTTGCTCATAGTTTTGGGTGATAGTAGTTATCAATCTAAACAACGCCAAAATTGGGATATATAGGAAAAACGGAGAAGAAAAGAAAAGAAAATCAGAAAAAGGTCAATAGATCAGTGGTCAAGACCTATACCTTTCTCATGCCCAGTTGATGCACTTGACACTATGGAGAAATGCTGTAGGCCAGGGGTGCCCAAACACAGTCCTGCAGAGTTTAGATCCAACCCCAGTTAGACACACCTGAACCAGCTAATCAAGCACTTACTAGGCATACTAGAAACCTCCAGGCATGTGTGTTGAGGCAGGTTGGAGCTAAACTCTGCAGGACATCGGCCCTCCAGGACCGAGTTTGGGCACCTCTGCTGTAGGCTATCTGTGAGTTTCTCTTCTGAGAAGGCCTTTGATGTGTTTTGGCTATAGAGATATGCTGGAGGAGACGTGTTTCAGGAAACACTCAGTGTGAACACTTTCCGCATATTTGATGCTTTTTGAACAATCATTGGGCTAGAACAAAAACTACATTATAATTCAAAAGGGTTGGGTTAGTAAGATCAGTAATACTTCTTGGATGCGTTGCATTGATTATAAGTGACAGCAATGACTTTTACATTGTTACAGAAAATTCTATTTAAAATAAATGCTAACTTTCTTTTATTTCCAAAATTGATTGAGCATATGTAATGGCTTCTGAAAATTCAGCATTGCCATCGCAGTAATAAATTACATTATAAATTGTAATAATATTTCACAATATTACTGTTCTTACAGCACTTTTCAAATAAATGCAGTCTTGGTGACCATAAAAGACTTATTTTAAAAACATAATTTTGAATAGTGTGTAACACATATGGGCAGACACGTGCACACATAGACATCAAAGGGGGCTTGAGCACCTGCCCTTTTTCTTCGAGAGAGAAAGTGCCCTCT